ACATAGATGTTCTTGGTGGTAGCGATGTGTGGACAATGATGGGGCTTCGACATGATAGCCACAAACGGCAATACCAGAAGTGGTGTGGGCGGGCTTGGCTCAGAGGCGAGGGAGCAGAGACTCGCGTTCCAATTCTGGCACCACCGCTATCATCTCGACGAGTTTGGGGGCACAAGCGAGGCCATATTTGCGACAAGCTACGGATTTGAGGGCATTCATATCAAAGTTCTCTCCTCTACGCGAGTGCTCCACCATGCTGTTCACAATCTCTGCGATTTCCTGGACTCGCACTTCCTCTTCGCTGAGTCCGTGGTCGACCACCCCGCCTCAACCAGGCAGAGGCATCTTCCTTGGCTTAACGACTTCGACCGTTGCCATGGGTACATGAGTGAGAGAAGATGGGGAACACTCTGCAGCTCGGCCGTCGCGATTTGTGGACAACTAGAACTCTCTAAAGGGACAAGTGGAAGGCTCGAGAGTGGTTCAACTCAAAACCTACAATATCAAGGAGGATACACTTCCTCATCTGGCTTAGATCATTTACTTGCAAGGAATGAAAAATAGAGGAAATCAGGAAGAAGAAAGGGGAGGAGAGAACGGAGAAGGGGAAGAAGAGAGATCGGGGGCGTGGGGGGGGGAGGGAGAGAAAGGGAGGACTTCAGAAGTCCGTTGCCGCTGCAATAACTACTGCCGCTACTGTTCGTGTAACGTAAGGTCAGGGAAGATGAAAACTATTTTTCTCCGAATAGTTATTATAAGGGTAGTATGGAGATTAAAAAATATTGCAACGACGGATTTCAATGGAAGGCTAAYGAAAGAGGGTCTTTGTCTCACAGTCATGGTACATGGGGGTCTTTGTTGCAAAACAAAGTATGGGGGGTCTTTATCATAGACCCATAGTACAAGGGGTCTTTGTAATTTACCATTTTTTTATCTAATTTTGCTAACAAGTGCATTAATGCAATGTGAGTTGTGCATTTACAACATTTAGTTGGTGAATTCTTATTTGTTCCCCATACCAATCTGTTGGTGCGTGATCTAGAAGCTCCTAGCTGAAAGATGACTTGGAAGTTGGTTGCATAGTGAGCTGGTTCGAACTGCAAGAAAATAGATCAGAGAACCCAGGGTGGGCTAACCCGGCGAGGTCTCTCCGACGCTTAAGTCAGTATTGTGTTATCTTGGTTGCGAGCTAAAAGCTTGAGTGTAGAGAGAGCTAGTGAGCAAATAATCGTGTGTACCTTCTCGTKTCATTGGGGTTGGTGCCTTTATATAGGCTTTTTTTGAAGTGAGCTTCATGCACCGCATCCAAGATTTCCGGGAGGTCACCTAACTGGTCCGAGACCCCTGGAGGTAACCGCTACGCATGTTGACCATCCTCCAGAACACTTGGTACGTGGGCCAACTTCCAAGAAACTTGGGAGTGTCGGGATATGCATGCCGAATTTGTCAGCAAGCACAACTCGCAGGTCACTTCCTGGACCTCAGTCAGGTCGGCAAGCCCTCGAGGGAGGTCGCTTCTTGCGTCGAGGTCACATCGGCGAGTGACGAGGTGCTAAAGGTCGGCCCTAGATGAGGTGCTCCTAGCCAGGCTAAGTTGTGGTCGAAGTCATTAGGTCAGAGTGAAAACGAACCACAATTTGGGATTCCAAATCATTGCTTAGTTGGTGTCCATGTGTCATACAACTGTTCCAAGATGCCATGTGTCACGATGTGACTGGAGGGCCAAATCCGCCCTCATCACAATCCATATCAATGCAGCCATGCATTGGCATGAATGAGAACATGTAATTACAATAGATATTCTTCATGTACAGCTAAAAAATGTTGTGGGGAGTTCAATGGGGAGCATATATGGATTTTGTGTGTTTATTTGGGTGGAGCCCCATTTATTTATGGTCCATTTGGTTTACTATCAGGATCGGAATCAAAACCCCTTGGAACCTGAGTCAGTTGTTTGGTTTAGACTATATTTGAAATGAGAATCAGAATTCACTGGAATGAATTTTCATTCCCAAAGGAGGGAGAGGGAATGGCTATAGAGAATGCCATTCCACTAAAAATAGAAATGGAATTCTGATTCCACCCAACCAAACAGTACCATTCTAATTCCAGACCCTATTCTTGCAAATAAAACCAACCTTAAACCGGTAAAATTTTAACATGAAAGTTTCATGACAACAATGAAGACAATTTGAATACTAGAAATTTTGGCACAACATTTTAGGAGGTATTTTGCCGATGGTAATGGAATGGTTTTCTTTTCTATAACAAAAACCGCTGTGACATCATTGACCGGTAGTGACACTTGCGTTTTAGAAATAGAAATCAAAACCATTCACATTGGTAAAGACACCAAAACCGTATTTTTTTTTGTGTCAATAGGGGTTTATAACACTTTGTAGCAATTGACTATGGATTTATAAGAGTTTGTAAAGATTAGATATTGGTTTGTAACAATTGAATAACAATCGAATTCAGATAATCATATTTGTAACGGTTTGTAGTAGGTTCATAGAAGTTTGTAACTGTTGAATAACAACCGATGCACATACAATATCCAGGTAGAGTTTTACCGAGGTTGATGATTTCTTACCCTGCCACATATTAACATCAAAAGTCAATAGAATTGATAAATCATGGTATTTGAATCACTGTTGATTTTGACGGTTAGATCGTTTGGCCTGGGAATTGTTCAGGCGATTAATTCTATTTTATTTTAAATTCAGTTTTTGGTTAAAAACCGTTGAATCAATCAATGACTCGTTAATTTGGACAGTCAAATCRTTGATCCATCAATCTATTTAATGGTTTTGGCTTTTTTATTTTTAATTATTTTATTATTTTTTTTTAATTTTTATTATCAGAATAGGCCATCCATTTGAACTGGATGGTCGAACCAAAAATATGGTCAAAACGATTCCATTTCCAAGTCGTTTTTTAAAATCATGCTTAAAACCTTTGACTTGACATTGGATTGAGTTGTTACCGAATACCTAATCCAATCCAATCCAAGTGATATAATAGGTTATGTTCCAATCCAATTCAATCCAATAGGCATTAACGATTTCTCCATATCCAATACATTTTTTTGGGTAGAAATCCATATCCGATACATTGACAGCCCTGGTTTAAGATCCGTTGGCCTGGACTATTGATTGGTCTATCACTAGGGAGTTCAAATCTGCACCCCACCCGGTTTAGCCCCACAAATGCCCCACATGTTCAATGTGTGCCACTTGTCCCTTCACACGGTTTTGCTAGTAGCACATGCAGGGCTAATGGGACGTCCATTAGCCCCTTCCGTTACCCCCCAAAAGTCTTAAACCATTTCATTCGAAAGACTAGGGTATCTCAAAGTTCCTTTCTCCCTTGTCAGAGTTCCCTTCTCCTTCTCCAACACCGGTGACCTACAACAATAACGGGCGGTACTCTCCAGCTCTTTCACACATTTTTTTTCTTTCTTTTTTTTGATATTTTCCTTTTCCAGAAATTAGAGAAATTGGCGGCAGAGTTAAAAACGATAAAGATGCCAAGTTCTTCTTCATGAATACCTATCTATTTGCTGCCTGCACAATTCTCGACCTTGCCAATGGCTTCGCTAACTACTTATATGGCTTTGGTTTGTCTCGTATACCCGTCTCAACCGATGGTTTGATAGGTTCCACTCAGTTGATCTTCACAACAGTGTTTGCATTCCTTCTGGTTGGGCAAAGGTTCTTGTTTTACTCCATAAACTCAGTTGTTTTGTCGACCATAGGTGCAATAGTTCTTGCCCTGCATGCAAGCTCTGACTTGCCTTGCTAATGAATCCAATACACAGTATTACATGGGTTTCACTATGACAGTCAGCGCAACTCTGATTAATAGATTGACGCCTCCTTTGATTGAGCTCATGTACAAGAAATTGAACCAGGGCGTAACCTATTCTCTGGTAATGGAGATTCAGATTGTAACATCCATCTTCTCCAATGTTTTTTGCACCGTTGGAATGCTAGTCAATAACGACTTTTAGGTCTCTCTCTCTCTCCATGGGGCTCTTGAGAAGGATCCCAAAGAGTTTACTTTTGGTCGGTCATTCCATGGGCACAAGCATCCTTCGGAGGAAATGGACACAAAATCAGGATTTCCTTGAGGCCTAAAAACTCTCTTTCAGGTCTGATGTTTAGGCCTAGTCCTGTGTCCATCCCTGGGAGATCAAAAAGGTGCTTGCTTCTTTCATGGAATGAGCCAAATTAAACCAAATTAACCCCAAATGACCTTGAATTTCTACTTGGCAACATGGTTTGAAGGATTGATATCACTCATAAAATTGCCATGAATGAGGTATAACTTGTGGATAAACGGAGAAGGAGAAGAGAACTCTGCTGCCGGTTTCTTTGATTTTTGAAAAACGAAAATATCAAAAAAGAAAGAAAAATAAAGAATGTGTGAAAATGTGAGTGAAAGAATACCGCCGGTTGTCATGTAGGTCACCGGTGCCGGAAAAGGAGAAGGGAACTCTGACGAAGGAAAAGGGAACTTTGAAATATCCTAATCTTTTGAATGAAATTGTAATCTTTCGAATGAAATGGTTTGAGACTTTTGGGGGCTAACGGACGTCCCGTTTGTGGGGCGGAATCGGGTGGGGCGCAGATTTCAACTCATCACTAGGGCCTTATCTCGTGGTGGATCCTACTCATAATTCCGACGAGGTGAACCGTACGGCTATAATTATGTAGCAGTCGGGCTACATAGAAGATGAGAGTGCTCTTCCAAGATCCAAACCGCTTGTTTTCGTCGGTGGGCCCTATACTTTGCTCCATCACGTGGCATTCATGATGATTCAACCTTGAGGCGGGGGCGGTTGGAAAGGCACGTGCCGTAAACATCCTTCATCTGTATCCAACGGTTGCGAGTATTTGAGGTCGACCTCATTGTATATTACAATAAGGGTAATTGTAATGTTAATATTTCCCAGTTCCGTCATTAATTAATGCAGGAAATCTCAGCTCATTTTTGTTTTGTTTGCTGAAGACTATCGAAGAAAGCAAGTCTCCGGTGCTTAGCCTAAAAAGAAGACTATTTTAAACTGCTCACTAATTACTCTCTTTCTCCCTCGCGCCGTCGCGCGCCTATACGCCATGTAACGACCTCAGAGCTTCGGCGTATCGGTTTATGGCGATTTGTGGGGTTTTCTCTCCAAACTGAATTTTAATTACAATCGTTCTTTGCCAAAAGAACAGGTTATTTGTCAAGGTTTTCCGCATGGTATCGGATTCTCGTTTGATTGCGGGAATCCTCCTTTTCGGGAAACCTTGGGGAAAGCTCGTTAGCTTTTTTTACTGGTTCTGGGATCTATATGTGCAATTCGACTAGGGTTTGTTTTCCTGGGATGTGATTTGGGATGGTCAGGGATGGCTCGAGACGGATACGTCGTCCCTGTAGATCCTCAAGCCGCCTTGAAGAAGAAAACCGCCGTCTCGAGGAGTTGGATTTTGTTGGATTGTACCGGAGAGGGGACGATCCTGGATGTCGACAAGTATGCCATTATGCACCGGGTTCAGATTCATGCAAGAGATCTTCGGATCCTTGATCCTCTGTTATCATATCCTTCGACGATATTAGGCCGAGAAAAGGCCATTGTGCTCAATTTGGAGGTGAGCGTCATTTATCTTTTGTTTATTTTTCGGTGGCTTTGCGTTTTTGGGTATCTTTGTGTTGCTAATTTCATTTTACTATTGGGGGTTTTGTCTTGGACTTTGGTATTCGTCAGCACATTAAAGCAATAATCACTGCAGAGGAGGTGAGCTTTTATTGGTTCTTTCCTTTTCCCATATTATCCTTACTTGTTCATTCTTGTTTCTGTAGTCTCAATATTGCTGGTGCCTGAATTCTTAGCTGGAGAAGTTAGATTTTCCATCTTTAGTGACTTGCTCGTTGTGTTCTTTCATTTTATGGTTGAAATTGTGAAACTTCCTGTCTGTAGATAGACCTCTATTTAGTTCTAAGTAATTTCAAGCATGAGTGTCCAGCCTGTATGACAAAAAAAGCGTTAAAAAATGAAAAGAAAAGCCTGTCTTCTCTCAGAAGTTAACTACTTGTATTGTCTTTTGAATAGGTGTTTCTTAGAGATCCGCATGATGATAATGTTATTCCCATTGTGGAAGAACTTAAAAGGCGATTGCCCCCTGTAAATGCCCGCCATGCCCAAGGAGACCGGAAGGAGAACCAGGATAGGCACAATGATGCTGAAGTGAGTGAAGAGGATGGTATGTTGTACTAAGTGATACTTCATTCTGTTTCTGCAAGGTTTTATTTCTCTTTTGTAACTTTCTGTTTTTAATGATTTTGAGTTGGCCCAAAACAAATTAAGTAAAATAAAATAAGATAAAATAAAGAGGGAAGAAGATTCTGAGTGAGCCAAATGAAAAGATAATAGTTATATTGATTTTTTTTGGGTGGGACATGGCACCATTTTCTTGTTAGGATGTTGCCTTTCCTTTTCAGTTTAAAAATTTGACGCAATTTTTCTTTGTTTTTTCCTTTAAGTATGATACTTGTTACTGTGTGGCATCTTAACCATGCTAACTCATGCACTGTAGAGTCTCCATTTGAATTTCGAGCCCTAGAAGTAGCACTTGAAGCTATTTGTAGTTTTCTTGGTGCACGTACAACGGAACTGGAGACTGATGCTTATCCAGCCTTAGATGAGTTGACCTCCAAAGTAAGTGACTTACTCATTCTATATCAAAATTGTTTGTTCCTTTTTTTTTTTCTGTGTTGGTCAAGACAGTGTGATTTGGTAGCTTCTAGGCTTATACTGTCCACAGTTACCTGTCTTTGAAGATGGGCATATGATGCTATGAATAGGGGGAAAGAAGATGTCTGCATGGTATCACACAGGCTTTTGAAATCTTCCTTTTTGGGCTTTCCAGCTTTTATGATATGATCATACAGAGCTAGAATTGTTAGCTAGATTATTTTTGCATGGTATCCCACAGGCTTTTGAAATCTTCCTTTTTGGGCTTTCCAGCTTTTAAATTCTATGGTTAGGATAATATGATCATACAGAGTTAGAATTGTTAGCTAGATTATTTTCAGTTGATGAACTTTGCATTTGTGTTATAGAATTGTTGTTAGATTTGTTTGCCAGGGGTATGCTAGGGATGCTCTACTTTCTATTTAATATTAACCCATGGATCAGATCAATTGGCTGYACCAATAAGTTAGGATTTGTTAAATTTAGTTTTGCTTGTCATGGAAAATGGTCTTCTGATTATTCCAGATTTTTATTGAATAGCCACAAAAGGACTTAGAGAGATAATTGAACAGTTTTCATTAACTTAAAGACTGAAAAGAAACTGGCAACTTGGAAGAGAAGCTATATTTCTTTGGAGGTAGGATCCTGATGATCAAGGTGACACTATCAAATCCACCTATATATTTCCTATTGGTCGTTAAGAGCCCTTCTTAGTCCAAAACGATTGATAAGATAATAAGGGATTTTCTGTGGGAGCCAAGTTAGTCTACTAAGGACAATTTAGTTAACTAGAAGACTATTTGCAAAAGCAAGAAAGAGGGTGATTAGGCTTAGGGAGGATAGAGTACAAGCAAGATTCAAAATTTTGTCACGTATCGGCCCGTATTGGTCGATACGTATTGTACCAGTGGGTCACTGATACACGAAATAAGGGGAGTTTCGGGGTAAGACCTGTTTCATGGGGTAGCCAGGTCTCTAACTGACCCCTATGAACATGTTTGGAAAAAAGAAAACTAAAATAAGTGAAAGCGTGTTGATACAAAGTCTGATACGCCTGTATTGATACTTTGAACCTTGAGTACAAGAACTGTTCTCTCCTAAGCAAGTGGCTATGTGGTTTCCTTTGGGTTTAGGTGGACTGTGGCATGAAGTTATTAAGAGCATTTTTGGTCTTTCTTCAGATGATTGGGATTCCGACTTAGATGCTGGAGCATCTTTAACTTCTCCTGGAAAGCTATTTCAGCCTTATTCCCTGCCTTTTCTCAATTCTTGAGATATGGCGCTTGCAATTGGAATAAAACTAGATTTTTGGAGGACCTTTGGTGGGGTGATATTTCTTTGAAGGACAGACTTCTCTCTCTTTACTCTTTTTCTTATCATCATAATAAAACCATCTTTAGTGTGTTTCTTCCTACTCACAAGGTTTGAATTTGGACTTGGGACTTAAAGGGTTTAAGGGACTTCAAAGTGTCTGAAGCATTGGCTGTTTTAGACTACGTTAAAGATGTTCTCCTTGCTTGAATCTTGTACTGACCTTAGGATCTAGACTCACCTCACATGGTCTGTTCTCGTGTGCCTCCTTCAAGACTTGGTGCTCCTTTCCATCCTCTTTCTTTAGAACTGACGTGAAGGCTCTATGGTTAGGAATGGTTCCTCTCAAAATCAGGGCTCTCACTTAGTTAAGCTTTCATGGCAAAATCAATACTTGCGTCATGATTCAATGATGGAGGCCATCTTGGTGCCACTTTTTCTGTTCATTGTTCAGCTGTCGGTCGATCCCAGATGATTTGATTAACTTGTTTAGTTCCACTTTCTTTTCACTACTATAAGAGAGCGGTGGAATCTTATGGAGGTGTGCTAGGGCGGCCATACTTTGATGCATTTGGGAGGAGAGACATGCGCAATTGTTTATGGAATAAAGCAAGGGAACTGAAGCAATCAATGGAATTGTTTAGATATAAGTCATCCATTGGGTCGAGACTTTGGAAACCTTCAGACACTTCTCAACTGTTGATATTCTCAGGAATTGGCAACGGGTGGCATTCTCCTTCGCATCAATAACTGTCTGACCTCAAATTGGACCAAACTGAATTTCAATGGATGTAATATAGGAAATTCAGGTCCATCAGGTATAGTGGCTGTCATTTGAAATTTGAGGGGAAGCATATTGGCAGTATATTCAGGACCAATAGGATTTGGCGATTCTTTTGAGGACATAAGTTATGGCTGTGTTATAGGGCCTTCGGTTGGCTAAATCTTTAAACTTCAATGTTATTTTGATTGAAGGGGGACTCACAGGTTGTTATAGGATGGATGAAATATTTTGGCACGGGATAACTTGATAATGAGGGGCATTTAGGTTGATGATTTGGGGTGTGTCCTGTGTCACAGATTTGAGGAATCAGATAATCACCTTTTGCTACATTGTGAATTTTCTTACAGAATATGGATGAAAAATTCTTCAGCTTTTTGCAGTAAAGGGGTATTTCCTGGCAGATATGATGAGTTTCATGGGTGGTTTGGTATTTGAAGGGACTGAATAAGAGTGGTAATGTAGCATGGAGGGTCACTCTGGCAGCTGTCTTTTAGGCAATCTGGGCTGAAAGGAATAGCAGCATATGAGAACCAGTAAAGGACAGAGGATGAGGTGGCTAAAGATGTAATGGGAATGCTGTGTTCATGGATGGCAAATGACAGACTCTTTAAGGGAAGAAGACTATATAGCTCTTTTTTGCTTTTGATCATCTTTTTGTAAAACCTTAAAATATACAATCTATTTTTTCTGTAATTGCTTTTCAGATGTAATGGTGTATATCCCCAATTGTACAGAGATCCTGCTTGTAGTTTTATCTGAATTTAGTACAGAATCAATACTTTGTCCTTTTTAAAACAAAAGAATGGATGAAGAATGATGAAATTGAAGCATGGAGATACAGATATTTGATGAGGGAAATAAAAAATTGGCAGCTGAACTAAGAACATACATTTTTTTTGATCAGTTGAACTGAGAACATACATTTGGATTCCTAGGTCATCAAATAACATGACAGAGCTAAGCTAAGATTAACTGAAGTTAATTGTTTTTGGAGTCTGTGAGTCAGAGGTAAGTCTTAAGAAGGCTATCTGAGGCTTGCTATATCTTAGGGGAGTTAAGTTTCTCTGATGTACATTTGCCGAATATCATTAATATTGTAATTCTGACTGTAATTGATAAACTAATATCGTATATATGCATATGTATGTATGTCTGTGTGTGTGTAGGGGAATCTTCATTTATTTCCACCCCACAAATTTTTACTTTACCATACAGTTGGGAAAAGTGACACGGGGGGGGGGGGGTATGGTGTGATTTAGTGGGAGTGTTGGAAGTTTTAAACTGTTGTGAGTGTACGGTGAAGTAAAAATTTGTGGGGGCGTGCTTCAGTGAGATTTCCCCAACAGTAATTTGAAAGAGTCTAATTCCTTTGCTTTGTTAATCCTTCTTGATCTCCKAGGATAAATCTCCCCACCACAAGTAAAAAAATGTGTTTCAGAAATTATAACTGGATTGCACTATCAAGTTATTTTTTGGTCTATTTTCTTCACCACTTTTCTTGAGAGTGGTTATGTAACGATTGATAATTGTGCTTGTTGGATGTTTTGTGGCCCTATTTTCGTATCCTAAAAGAATATAATTCCTTTGTGATTGTGATTCTGTAATTCTGTGTTTCATACCTCAAAATAGAAACAATACATTGCAAGAAGTTCATGACAGAACAACATGCTTATACTTTTTTTTTTTGATTGGAAACAGTAACTTTCATTAATTCTTTAAGAAACTTAGTACAACTGTCACCTTCAAAAAACAAGGTGACCCCTCCACAGATTATAAACAGGCCCAAAAAAGGTTCTGCCTACTAACTCCTTGCTTTGCTAAAGTATCAGCCATTGCATTGGCTGATCTCCTACTCCATTTAAACCTGACTTCAAGCCCCCTTGTTAGTTGCATAATCTCCCTTACAGGTTGTTTAAGGGACCAGGCGCCTAAGCTGTTTGTTTGCATCCAACCTATTATCAATTTCGAGTCTCCCTCCACTTCCAACTGCTGAAAACCCAGCTATTTAGCCAGCTTGATCCCTTGTAGGAGTGCCAAAACTTCTGCTCTAAGAGAGTCCCCCAGTCCTATCGGGCCAGAATAAAGGGCCAGGACATTTCCTCCCCATCTCTAAAGACACCCCCAATTCTAGAGGGTCCTGGATTACCTATAGAACTGCCATCAAAGTTTAACTTAACATCCAAAGATAACGGGGGCGACCAGTCCTCTTGAATAGCTAAAGAGGGGCAGGAAGAAGCTGCTACCGCACTCCACCCTCTAATTAAGCCATCTACAGGGAAGTCCTTGAACAGATTGAGCAATTTCAGCCAATGTATGATCTTGATGGTGATCCCTTCTATGACTTCATGTGTTGATTTTTCTTTCCCTTGAAAGATTATGTTATTTCTCTCTTCCCACACTGTCCAAACAATTGCCGTCCTCGTTGCTCTCCACATTACCCTTCCTCTTTTCTTTGATTGACGAAAAAAGCTAGATTCAAAAAGATTCACCACGCTTGTAGGAGGAACTCACCTACACCCAAAGAGAGAGGAAAACCAATCCCAAATAAGAGTAACAAAAGGACAAGATATTAGTAGATGATTTACCGTCTCACCACTCTTCAAGCAAAGGCTACAAACATGAGGGGATAAGAACCAATTCGGTCTTTTTTCTGAAGCAAGTCCAAAGTGTTGATTTTTTAGAGAACCACTTCCCAACAAAAAGCCCTCACCTTTGGAGGTACAGGAGCACTCCACACTTCTTTTATAGGAAAAGAGTAAACTAAATTGGAAGAGTGCACTAAAGCATTAAAGAAAGAAGAGCATGAAAAACAACCGGAGGACTCTTCAGACCAAATTCTATTATCAGGATAAGAATGATCCAAAAACAC